TCTCTTTTCTTTAGGTCTAGTCCATTTTTCCACAGGGGGACTCTTATTTCTGCTGTTATGAATTGAATCATGTCCTCCCAAAAAGCATGTGTCAAAACCCTAACCCCCACTACCTTGGAGTGTTATGCTACGTGGAAATGGTGTCTGCCGTGACACCATTGGTCATCATCAAATGCAGTGCCAACCTGTTTTCCCAGTCCTGTCCCTTAGGTGTTGATAAGGTCACAGTGGGGTGGGTTGGACCCTTGTCAGATATGGAGAAGAGGGAAAGGATAGCCCAGAAACGAATCACACACCCGGCCAGACACACAAAGCAGCCTGGAGTGACAAGGCAGAGATGGGTGACAGAGCCACCAGGAGCTGGAGGAGTCGGGAAGGACCCTTGTCCAGGGCTTTCATGGGCATGGAGTCCTGCCAACACCCAGACTCCAGACTTCCTGCCTCCAGCACAATGGGAAATAGGTGCCTATTATTTCTGGCCACCCACTGCAGAGTGCTTTGCTACACAGCCCTAGCAAACAAATGCAGAGTGTGAACAGATGGCTGTGGGTTGTGCTGCCTGTGGGTGGAAGAGGGCCTGGGGGGATCCCTGCATGTAATTCTTCTTCACCTGCTGTTGTCAGGTTAGCAGCTTGTCCTTCCCTTTTGCGCTTGATGTCCCTGGGCCTGGACTTTCTCTGGTTTAATTGCTCTTGAAATGATTGGGGTACAGATCTAGGGTCCTGTGTCCTTACTCAGATGCCTAGTTAGTCCAGGAGCTTTCACCCCAGCTCCCTCTTGAAAAACAACCAGAGCCTCCCATTCCTGAGCAGTCTGCCTGGTATCTCTGCATAAAACATTTCCGGTTCTCAAGTCCCTCAGCTCAAGGTCACAGGTTCCTGAAGCCCTCGGTGCTCCCAACGGAAGTGAGGGCACCCTCTTCTGGCGGCTGGGTGTGGTTGTCTCTTCCCCAGGCCTCTCCTGGAACTCTGGAGGGAGCCTCCATGTTGGTTGATCTTGGCGTCCTCTGCACACCCTGCAGGGCTCCGCTCCACACAATCGCCTCTCAGTGCACTTTTCTTGGATGAATGAAGGAATGGAGAGGACCTCGAAGCTAAAATGAGTGGGTGTCTGACTTCGTGCTTAAAGAAAACCAACCCCATGGCTAAGATTATTAAAAAAGAACTGAGCCACCCATCCTTTCTAATGGAAATTTACATTTCAAACTGAAGAAAAGGTCAAATTAGAACTTTGATGTAGCCCTCTAATTATAACACCAAATATCTCCTTGCTTAAATTGTTGAATTCCAATCAGCTGCAAATTTTGGCTCTTCTCAGGGTTTGACAGCCTTAAAAATTAATCAGCTGAGCATGGTTTATAGCTCACGACATTCTAGGAAAAGTGCTATATTTTTAACTGGGCAATTTTACACCAATTTTCCTAGAGCCAGCTCACTGCTGACGTACTACTTTTACTTCATGCAATCTTCTCCTTTACTGCTTATGAGGGGTTAACATGTCACCCGAAAGCTGCAAACTTGAGGAGAAGGTAGAATTCCTCCCTAGACTTTTATTTGCAAATTTAGGGTGTTTGTGATTATAAGGAGATTTCCATACACTTAATGTCAAAGACTCACTTTAGAACTCCATGTCCTCGCCCCTACTCCTGAGCTTCTGCCTTGGTGAATATTATTGGAGGTCAGCTTTACATTTCAGGTATTCATGTCACCGAGTGATCATGACTTCACTTCCTGTCTGCTTTGATTAGAAAAATGGTGCTAAGGAAAGTCAAGGAAAATTAGATGGGGAATATTCTTCTTGTAGCAGAAAAAATAAGAGAAATAAGAAAAAAATAAGAGAAGAACTGGGAATTTGCGCAGTGCCTGATTGACCCGCCAGCCCAGGGCTTCTTTCAAGATGTGCCTGCTCTGTAAAGGTCTTTTTAGTGCACCAGCCAGGGCTTCTGTGGGTGATAAGTGTTGGAAGCTGAGCTTCAATTAGCACAGAAAACGATTAACTGTGGACTCCTGTAACTAAAGGCAGACTGAGTGGGAGCAGTAGGACCACATTCTGGGGCAGACTCCATCACAAGGAGGTCTGGAATCAGGAAGCCAGTAGCACTTCCTCTTTGTGTCTTCTTGCTTTGAGCAACCTGGCTGACTTCCTCCAAATGGCAGCACATATAGCAGAGCCCAGGATCACCCCAGAGAGGCCAAGGATGCCCTAGGTGCAAGGGAGGCACCCTTTGGGGGTCACCTTGTCTGCTCTTCCTGTCCCTGGGTCCTGAAGGGGAGGTGCTAGTGGAAGGGGCTGTGGGAAGAGGGTGTCTCTCTCTGACCCCCTGATGAAAGTAGGTGAAGGGTGTTTCCCAAGATGGGGAAGACTGTCCCAGGCATGTGACCCAATGATGCCATTCACCAGGGACACCATGTCCTCCTTTGCCCGTGCGCAGCAGCAGTTTGGAGTGGGATGTTGGTTGTGCTCTCAAAACATTACTGCACACAGAATTATCTTTGTAGCAGAAGTGAGTCGTAAAGATTTGCATCATAGGGTGCTTCGCAAGAAGGGAGGGCAGCTGGCCCTCCTGTATCCTCTGTCCTTGTCCTGAGCCCTGAGTGGGGCCAAATCTAGAGGCAGAGAGTCCGAAGCGTGCAGAGAGGAGCAGAGAAGGAAGGAGAAGTCAGGAACCAGGTGGTGGCAGATGCGGTGGACACAGTCTACACGCCAGGTTGAGGGGTTGGTGCTGGGTTATCCTGGACATTATTGAGCCACTCATTCTGTGGATGATGGAACTCAGCAGCTCGCCCAAGACCTGTGGTTGGTTAGTAACAAAGAAGGCACTGGGGCTTCATTCCCAGACAGGCATTAACTTTCCACTCTGCCCCTGGGAGGCTTAAAACACACTCAAGGATGGCTCAAGAAGCCGCAGCTGCCCCCTGGCTGCAGGTCAGTGGAAACCTCCATGCTCCTCTTAGGCGGGGCCTACAACGCTTTTCTTGAAATAGTGGAGCTGCCTCTTCGTTTGAGGTGACTGTGGAATCTCACACACTCCTCCTCGGGGAGACGAAACTCCACCCTCGCTAAACCAAGCAAATCTACTAACATAACAGCACTTACAACTCCTTAGGGAGCAGGGGAGCCTTGCTTCTGTAAATCTTGTTCTAAATCATTTATCACCCTTGCTATTGAAATGAGGAGGATTTCTCACACCAAGGAACTAGCTGTTTTGAAAACAAAGTTGTATTTGTCTTGAAAACAGAATGGTAGGTGTGAGTGGGTGTGGGTGTGTCAGGTGGCTCAGGTGGCCTGGCCCGGTGTGGGCGGGTCAGAGGAGTGGTTTCCAAGGCGCAGGCCGCGTGGTTGGGGGAGACCCCCGCTAGGGCTGGTGGTCAGGGTCCTGCTGCTCTCCTTGAGGGGGAGGACTCAGGAAGGAGGGGCAGTCACAGGGAGGGCTGTTCCCCAGCATGTCGTGTGGGCAGTGTGGCCCCTAGAGTCTCTGCCCATCCACTCCCTGGAGGTGATGCAGGGAAACCCTGTCACCCTGTTTCTGTCCCAACTCTCCACTTGACAAGCTGCAGGCAAACCCCTGGGGAGCAGGGTGGGACCCCTGGAGAAGTGGGGTACAGGTGGTCTCTCTGGGGTGTCTCCCTCCTCCCTAATCGGGAAGGGCATAACCCATGGGAGGAGTTAGTGATGTCCTGACTCTTCAAGTTTGGCTTCTGAAGGATCTCAGAGTCCCCTGAAGATGTCTTTGGATTTTTGCATGAAGTGACTCTCGCATGTGCCGCGTGTGAGACGTCTGACAGTGCCCAAGGCAGGGCTGTAGCCGGACCTCTGCCACCACCCTGGGGTGAGGACGGTGGCCCTGGTCCTCTCTAAGGATGAGGCTTAGATCTATTTAAAAGGGTTTTGGGTGAGGATGTTTGTGATCAAAAATATATGTATATTAAAGATTGTTGAAAGATAGACGCTCTGTAGACATTAAAGTTCTTGCTCAAGAGTTTTCTCGATTTCATTCTTCACATGGATAACAGGAAGCACTGGTAAGGCTGAGGGAAAAGGGGAGGAAGTCAGTGTGGAGATTCTTCAAAAAACTCAAACTAGCCTTTCCGTTCCACCCAGCTGTTCCTCTCCTGGGTATCTTCCCGGAAGAGTTAAAGACCTCATACCACCGTGTCATATGCATACCCATATTTATAGCAGCCCAGTCCACAATAGCTAAGTGCTGGAAACGCCCTAGATGCCCATCAACAGATGAACAGCTAAAGAAAATGTGGTCTAATGTGGCAGAATATTATTCAGCCATAAAGAAGAATGAATGCAGGTCATTCGGAAGAAAAATGGATGAATCTTGAGCCCATAACATTATGTGTTTCCCCAGATGCATGTAACTACTATGTATAGCAAACATACACCAATCAGAAAGAGTTTTCTTGGCCCTCTGAGCCAGATAACCATCTTTATTCCCCCAGTGAGTGTCCCAGAATGAGACCAAGCCTTATAATCAGAGCCATTATATATGGAATTTTAAAGAAAAGCGGTTTCCTTTTTTTTGCCTTTTCACTGTCAAACAGGGCTTTGGTTAGCTGGGGCGATTTTAATTGCTGGTTTTTATATTTGAAAGGGGAGATTATTAGGAGAGGTCTGAATTCAGAAACTTCAAGAAGAAATGGGAGGGTGTGGTGAGGGTGGAGGGGGTTGCATTTCCTGTTTGCCTGTTCAGATGGTGTCTGAAAACACTGCGGGAAAACCATGGATACTTGCAAAGAAATTCCAAAATCCATTCTTTTTGCTGCCAGGGGCCCTGCCCAAAAGGTGTGGAGTAGAAGCGCTGGAGTTTTTTTAAGAGCTGGAGTTCGCAGGAGTCCAGCTACACGCTTGTAGGGTGAAGACAGCCTTCGGGGGTGACATCAGCTTGCAGCAGAGGCCAGGAGCAACAGAGCTCGGGGTCTGGTTTTCATTTACAGTTGGGGGAGGAGGGGAGGAGGAGGAGGCGGCGGCGGAGGAGGGGCTGGAGGAAGCCCTGACTGTACCCCTGGACCCCGGCCAGCTGGGGCTCAGCCTCACCAAAGCTGCTCAGTTCTCCAGGCTCCAGTCTCGGCAAGGCTGCGGGAGGAGTTTGTCCGCTTGCTCTGTCCTGCAGAGTCCAGACCCTCCGCCCCGGTGGGCAAGGCTGCAGGGAGAAGCTGAGGCGCAGCAAAAGGAAAACATGCTTCTGGTCCAACAGAACTGAATCCAGAAGCCAGGGACACTCACCTTCAAGTTGCTCAGGGTGAGTGCCCCTTCCCCACCTCCCCCCGGCCAGGAGGGAAACACTTGAAGCCAGACGTGACTGCTTTAGGTGGGTTTTAGTGGCTTTTTCGATCGCCCTATTTGTTGGCTGGTTCTCTGTGCGTGTTTTAGGATTCTGGAGAAGTCCGCTGAGTGTTCTTTCTCACTTTGTGGCCGGGACTGAAGGAAATTGTTTGCCCAAGAGTATAGCAGATTTTGGGTTTTCCGCCACGGGCGTGCAGGCGTCCACGGCGCCCTGCGTGCTCCCGACTGCAGTGCTCAGGCTCCTGGTTTACTGGGAGTTACCCCTGCCTCCCACCCAAGCCGCCTGGAATGTGTTTTGTTAGCAGAAGTGCCTGGTCGGGATCATAGAGCTACCTGGAGGGTGATTTTCTCTGGGCCGGCGCTTGGTGACTGTAGCTAGGCTACAGCCAGAGGGTCTTGCTCTGGCCGCCGTGGGAAGGTTGTGGGTCACCTGTGTTGCCTTCAGGAGTTTGGGGTGACTCTGGTGCCCAGGCTCAGCTGTGACCACCGGGGCTGCGTCTTTTCAGGAATCTGAAGTCGCTCTTGGAGGCTCCGTCCTCAGGGGTTGCGCAAGGAGCAGTTCGGGCAGAGGGGGAGTGTGGCGAGGTGGCCACCCGCCAAGCGGATAAGGACAGGCTCGGGGTGAGGCGGTGCCAAGCTGGGAAGACCCAGGGTGGGGCTCGGGTCCTCTGTCCCTGGGGATGGAACCTGTTCCCTATGGCTGCCAGCCTCTCTGAGGACTGGTTTGATTTCAAGCTACTACATTAGAAAACTGGTGACCCTGAGGCTGGGTCCCAGTCTGGGAGGGCCCAGGGGGTGTTGGGAGAAACTGAAGGAAAATCTAAGCTTTGCAGTGAGTCCAGGTATGGAAGTGATGCTGGTCTGGACCCCAAGAACAAGCTGGCACGGGTCTAGCAGGCCCCTGTCCCCGGAAGGCAGGGCAGACCCATGCCACCCCCAGCGGACCCGGTAGGAACCTTGGGTCTCAGAGCCTTGGGCTGCTCAGAGGATAGGCGGGCAGTCCTTGCTTCCTGGAGGACCCATCCTAGGGACTAAAAAGCTCAACAGAAATGGCTTTAAAATCAAAATTACATTGCTCCTGGCCAAAATGCTATTGATGACCCTCTGGCTGGTTACTGGGACCTCTGAGGTCTTTGCTGCTGGTGACAGATCTAGGAGAGGGTCTCAAATGGAAGCCCCAGATGTTGCCACTCTGGTTTTAAGGATGAGGAATCAGAGGCTCTGAGAGGCTGAATTCCCTCAGGGTCACAGAGCCAGAGCCCAAGCTGGTAGCAGCATCCTGGACCACTCCTGGGAGAGACGGGCTGATGTGTGTGCAGAGAGGGAAGATCCCGGATGAGCCGGCACCTGGATTTGGAACGGGCCGCCTGATCTGTCCCCTGGGAGGGAATTTCTTCCTCCCGTTCTGTTAACACCAAGAGAGAAGGTGGTTTCCACACCCTAAGTGTCTTCGGACTAATGGGGAGAGAAGGGAGGCAGACGGAAGTAGAAGTGGGGGCAGTGCCAGCCCTGTGGCCGAAGCCCCGGGTGGGCGTCCTTGCCAGGCCTCCTCAAGTCCATGGGGCGCTTGGCTCTGGCGTGGGACTGACCCAGGGCGAAGGCTTGCGCCGGCAAGGGGGGAATTTCTTTCATAGAAATGGAAGCTCTAGTGATCATGCTTACAGTTCTGAACATCTGTGTTTAGATGAGTTTTTTTTTTAATCACATGAAGTTTATTTCTCTCTCTTTCCCTCCCTCATGGTCGCAAGAGGCCGTTAAGCAAACTTGAGGTGCTCAGGGGGTGTGTGGGGTACCAGGGCTCGTAGCCAGGTGACTTTTCTGGATTTTGTTGTACCTGGGAATTGGAGGGTGTGGCTGCAGTGCCTCGCAGGAGGTGACTGGGATGTCAGCCCCTGGAAGAGTCTGTCCGCTGCAGGGATGTGTGTTCCCCACCCCACCCCAGGTAAGGCCTGGCGGTGAGCGGCTATAGGGCAGATGGCTAAGCCCAGGGTCCGAGTGTTTTTGAGGTGACATAAGCATCCTTCTGGCTTTTTTTTGCGGGAGGGTACTGGGGATTGAACCCAGAGCCTTTGCACTGAGTTACATCCTTTGTTTTTCTTACTTTGTATTTTAAGACAGGATCTTATTAAATTGCTGTTTCCCAGGCTGGATTTGAATTTGTGATCCTCCTGCCGCAGCCTCTTAGAGTGCAAGGATTACAGGCCTGCGCCGTCACACCCAGCCAGCATCTTTCTGAATCACAATCTTTACATTTTGCTTTATTCCACCACATCCTACCGACTTGTAGTAAGTGGCTTCTGTGCCTCGGTCAGTCAGCCCTGAATACATCCCTGACGGGGAGGCGGGAGGAATCCGTCTGGTCCTTCCACTGTCTGCTAGGGTGCGAGTTTCCCCTGAGCTTTTGCATCCCGACCTTAGCTTGGGTGTGGAGTCTGCAGAGGCCAGTGTTCTAAGCTGCTTGAATGGGACCTCCTTCCCGCTGGCAGTGGGCAGAGCGCTCTCCTGGGACTTCACCCAGTGCTCTTTCTGCCTTCAGGGGACTCAAGATTAGGGATAAAGCAGGGCTTTACCGGGCATCTGTCACCACCCACTTTTATGTGACATTCCTGACCAGGGTTTAAAATTCACCAGCTCACCAGGACGTCTGCCGCCTGAGACTTCCTTGCAGGCATGCCAAGAACTTTAGCAAAACTTTTTATTTGAAACCAGTTGTTATCACTTCTTTGTGCAAGGAGCTAAGACTCTGGTGTCTCCCGCGGAGGATGGCAGGCGGTGTCCCGTCTGAAAGGGACGCTGTGTACCAGGCGACCTTTCTGCAGCGGCCTCTGGATGCAAGCTTTACACGGTGTCCTGGCCGAGGCCGGCAGCCCGTAAACACACACCACCGCTGCAGAAATACTGGCGGCTTGAGAGCGAGCTCACACTTAGGAATCCTACGAGAAGCCCCAGCCGAGGAGCGCAAAGCCTCAAGTGAGTGGAATTTTGAAGCAGGGAGGTTTCAAAGGTTCCCGCTAATTCGGAGAGCCGCACACTAGGCCAGAAAGCACCTCTCCCCTCCCTGGTTTCTAGATAAAGTTTCTTGGTTTCCACTGCAAAAGCTCCATGACACAGCCCCACTGTTAAATAAAAGACACGGCTGACCCCAACACCACGCTGAAGGACCTCTCAAATTCTGAGGGAATTTTCACAAAGAGGGATTTCTTTGGGAATTATGTTAATTTTCAGAAATGTAATTTCCAGCACATTCTGGCCTCCCAGGGTTATTTTGGGAAGGGGATGGAATCTCCAGCTAGCTTTCCTTCAGGGAAAGCCAGCTGCGAAGACGTCGTTTGGTTTCTTTCCTCTAGAGGGCGGTGTACCCCTCCGAGCGCCAGGAAGATCTCAAGGTGGTGGGTGGGGTTTCCAAGGGTGGGGTACTAGGGAGTCCTTCCTGCATATTTCAGCAGATCTTGTGCACAACTTTAGCGCCTGCCTCCGGACTGTGTCCACGCATCATTATTGTTAATGTGGCTGCTCACACTATTTGAAGTGGGCATAGATTTAGGATTTTTTCTTCTGTGCTTTCGGGTGAGTGTGCTTACAAGAAATTACGTCTTTAAAGGATGCTTTCTGTCCTCTAAGACAACTGCATCCCAAGAGCCTGAAGCAGATGAGAAATTCTGAAGGAAGCCTTTCATTCGTTTCTAATTTTATAAGTTTAAACCAGTAGTCCCGTGCTTGGAAAACATTTGCAAACTGATGCCCTGAGCTGTGTCTGGGTAGAAGTTTTGAATTTTAAACCTGGAAGAAAACTTAAAATTAGTGGAACCAGTAACTCCTAAAGTTTTATCATCATCCACCTTTTCCCACTTCCCTCCAGTAGACAAGAGGTTTTAACATATTTGAAAGCAAACTTACACACAGTCATGAATGTCGCATTTTAAATATTTGTTAATAAAAATACATTACTGCTGAGCGTGGTCGCCCACACCTGTAATACTAGCACTTGGGAGGCTGAAGCAGGAGGATAACCATGAGTTCGAGGGCAGCTTGGGTTACACAGTGAGTTCAAGGCCAGCTCGAGCTACACAGTGAGATCCTGGCTCAATAAAACAAACAAACAAAAAATAAATAAAACAAATTACTGACTCATAGACTTAATGATTTTAGGTGGACCTAACTGCTATTAGGATCCACAAGTGCGGAATTTGAGCACAGAATAAAGTTCCCTCGGCTGAATTGGTCTATGTGTTTTCCATATTTATTTGGCTTAAAAGAACCATGGTGATTCAGGACACGCCTCCAGGATCAGAAGAGGGGACAGACATGGTTAAGGTGCAGTCCTGCTCACCTGATTGGCAAATACACGATTCTGAGGTACTGAGAAAGGACCGTCTTCTTGGCTTCTTTCCCCATGCGCGTTCTCCTCCTCTGAGAGGCAAGCGACTGCCCCAAGGCTGCAGAGCTCAGAGTGGAAGCAAACCAGCATTTCTTGGTTTTCCACACCTGCCTGACTTTGTCCTGGGCCAGGCACCAGGGGGACAAGCCTGTAAGAGCAGGGCTTAGAGTCTCACGTGGAGAAAGGGCTCTGCACTCACCAGTTTTTCAAGAGCATCTTGAAAGCTGATTTAGCAGAGGAGTAACTATTGCTTAAAAAATCTGGAAAGGAAAAGGAAGGAAGAAAAATGAGACAAATATGAAAAGTTCTGCCAAGCCCTTTCCCAAAAGTGGGTTGTTGGTCTTGCTGGGATTGGGCCGCACGCAGCAGGGCACTGCCCCCCTGCTCTGGAAGTTTGGGGCTCTGATGGGAAGAGAGGCACCCAAGGGTGGGCGTGGCTGGGGATCTCTCCACGGGAACCGTTTCTGTGGGCCCCAGCCCGTGCCTGGTGCCGCAGATTTTCATGGGCCAGCACAGAGGGACTCGGGCCCTGGAAGGAGCACTCAGGGCTGGTTTAATTTCAAAATTAAAAATTGAAC